TCATGATTTCTGGACAAGGTATTCAGAAGCCCAGTGACTTTTCAGAATGCCAAAACTCTCCCTTGGAACCAAAATGTCTACCTTAGCAGCCACTGAAGATACGGAACATTCCATTACCAATGGTCTTCCAACAATGCATCAAGTGGCACAGCACAGCTGGAAATCTTGCATCCCAGACCCCTGGCTGTTCCCATAGTGCCTTTCCTGTGCAGGTTTGAGAAGTCTCTTCATGCCTGGCTCACTCCCATGCCATGTCTAGATCATGGTGCATCTAAACACTTCCATTTTCCCATCACTTCCATAGAACCTCAAGAGAGATGTTTGGTCCAACTAAGGAGGCTTTCCACAGTAGTTCTTTGTGGCAAACCAAGAAGAGCAAGTATAAGGAATGAAACACTAGAGGTCTGCTGGCAGAGGGAGAAGAAAAGCTGAATTTGACCAGAGCAGAGGCTCTCTGGAGCATGCTGCAGATCCTAGAGTTCACAGGTGAGCTGCCATGTCCTCTCAGAGTAGCATCCTGGGAAGGCTCTCGGGCAGCTGCAGCTGAATCCCTGAAGAAATTCCATTAATATCTCCTCAGTTCTCCCAGAAGGTAAAATGTAAGGTCATTGCATGGATATTTCCTTCATGGTCCATACAAGTAAATGTTCAAAATCAAGTGAGTTACCTTAAAATTCTGTTCCTTGTCCCTCAGAAGAGGACTGGGATTTTGGAAGTGTCTCCCTCTGATACAAGACATTGGGCTTCTAAACAATGCAAATGACCAAATGACCACACTCTGTGGCATCAAGGATCCTTGGCTTTGGGTGTGGATCAATCCAGTGAAATAAGTCACAAAATCTGTGTCTCAAAATGCTCATTTGTGCTATGCAGCAATCATTTTTGCCCTCACCACTGGGGGTAAAGAGTACGTGAGAGAGCCAGTGCAGCTGGATTTTGAAAGAGTAAATGTACTAGATAAACATTAGACATTCTTCTTTGTTACTAGTACTGATAGTTCTTACATAATTGTGACCAGTAATGATAGCTTTTATCAGACACCCCCAAGGAGACAAAATGATTAATTAATTGGATTCTTCAGCTATTTGCAGCCTTTGCAACAGATTCTGCAACTGAGCCCAGAAGACAATAATAAATATAATAGCTAACATGTGTGTGTATTGCAAGTTAACATTCTCTAAACCACGAACTCACTTAATCCTAATACTGACACTAAGAGACAGGTTCCATTTTACAGATGAGGAAACCGAGGTGTAAGGAAGTTAAGTAACTTGCTCAGGAACCCCCACCAAGTAGGTTGTGTGGCTGGGGTTCAAAACCTGGACAATAGAGGTCTTGGTCTTAGACTCTTTACTCTCTTGTTTATAATTTTCCATCAGCGAAGTTGGCCGTAAAGAGCACTAACATGCCATGGAAATGAGAATTACTTTCTAGTATTCCACAGAAACCTTCATTTTCTGACTTACACAGACTGGTTCTCCTGGGTATATTTAAAGAGTAGTAGTAGGCATTTGGAGTCCATATAAAAACCCAGTGCTTTCCTTCACTAATGTCTGTGGCCTATTAGCTCTGTGGTGCTAATGAGGCTAAGGTTATAAGGTCAAACTCCACATGTATAAGTTGGGTTCAAAGAGAATAGCTTTTCCACAGCTAGTGACTGTACTTCTAACTTTGACCAACAGTCATGCAAATGTATGCCTAGCAGTCTGAGGGATGCCAGGGAGAAGAATACAAATGGGTTCAGCTCAAGTCCAGCCCAGTCTAAAACAATGCTACAGGTGGATGAGTGAATCTTTAGATTCTCCAAATCATATGCTCGCTCTTCTTCTTTTAATTGATAGCATCTCAGAAGGCTGTGGATTCTTATCTGTCTCCTGTAGTTTAATAAAGGGCATCTAAAAATGACCTACTCATTTGTCCACATAACCAAGAAGGTGAGAAAATGTATCAGTGAAAACCATCCTGCCTAGCAAAGAAACATGGTGGTGGGTTTTCCTATGAGTTTCTGTTCCATCATGGAGGAGGTGGAGTCCAATTTGAACAAAACAAAGAAGCTGGCTTCTCTTTCACCTGTCTTTGGAGATCACTAGGAAGTATGTAAAGAAGATAAAGGTAGCTAAGTGTTCCTTGGTCACTGCTTAAATCCAAGGTTCTCCAAGCACTACAACCTTGATAATTACAACCTAGAGTACAGGTCTGTTAAAGTTAGGTCATTTACTTTAACAAAATCCCCTTGTTTTATAGACAAGGACATTTCAGCCCAGAAATTTTAAATGCCTGCCAAAATCAGATGACTAATAAATGACAGGACTGGGTGCAGTTTTCTGGGCACTATATATTAAAAGCAAGAGGCTTGAGTTGATAATAATAACAACCTAAATCTAGGTTATTGTTATGCAATCAATAACAATGAAAGTTAATTGCAAAGTTTCACTTAAACTCTTTAAAAACAGTATGTTTTAACACATGAAGAATGTCATTCATTTATTCAAACCTGTTCTTAATAACTATGCATCGGGGGTATGTTTCACAAAAGCCATAAATCTGAAATGGCCGAAAGAGTATCCAACTTTCTTCTCTAATTGATTTACTTTTCCTTTTCCCAGACCACCAGAGGTAAAACATATACAGTTTATTTAAGGGACTGTTTATAGACTCTTAAAACTAAAAAGGACCTCAGAAACTCTCTTTTTGGGGGGTTGATCTTAATTGAAGCCATCCAAGATGGTTGGTTGTCCATCAATTTTTAACATATCTCCAAGGACAAAAATTCCACAAACTCTTAAACACTATGTGAAAATGGTTAATCCCTATGGCGGTCAAAAATGATGTCTATGCCATGTGTGACTTGGCCCGTTTCCTTTTACTATTGCTGTGTTTCACGAGATCGTAGTGAGCCACCCTGTACTTGGGCTCTACCAGGCTGTAGGAAAACAGCTGGCTGCTTTCTCTTCCATTGCCTCAACATTGTCCTCCCAGGATCGATAGACCTCTTTCTGTGATGCAGACGGAAGAATCAGTAAGTAGTGCTTCATTGGATCTTTCATCTCAGAAAATGTCTGGGGAAGTTACTTTAATTATAGACGAACTCTTCCTTGTATGCTGGGAAGATGTTCCGAAAGCAGATAGTTTGGAAGGTTGCTTCTACTGGGCTTGGAGGGAAGTATGAGCTTATTCATAACTTTGGTTCAGTCTGTACAAAATAAACATTACCAAAAATTGTGATTCTGACGCATTCTAATAGGATTAAGAAAACTCTCCTGGTTAAATATTCTGCACTGACAAAAAGAATAAGTGATGAAGATGATTTCCTTTTAAATGTTTAAGGTTCAAACTAAGATTAGAAACTGCTGTCTGCTATGAAAAAAACTCCATACTTCTACAACTGAGCTGAAGCAGCTAAAAATAAAAGGCACAGTCACAATAAAACTTTAAAAACAAGAGCAAGAAACAATAAATAATAAGTGTCAACTGACAGATCATAGGAGGGGGAAGAATGCTTCCCTCAAAAAGGATTTCAAAGACTGTAACTGCTTAAAGCTGACTTCTCCACACACAGTAAATCTCAGGGGATGAAAAGGAAACTCAGTAAAATTTGTTGACAACAGTTTATGCCTGTAAGAATAATTGGCTCCGACACAAAACAGACCGTCCGTGTAGCTTGAGGATGACCAACACACAGCCCTCAGGTCACTGTTAGTATGCACACGTTATGTTCAGTCGAGAAGCAGTTTTATCAACTAACTGACCAGACATGATATGAGAAGAATGATGGAAGCTACTCGACAGCCCTAATTCTTGATGGTTCTTAAGTCTAAGATCTCAATCAAGTAATCCGTTCCATTCAATTGGACTCCATCCTGTCAGTTCAATAATCAAATATCAGCAATTACTATCTTAGCCAGGCACTGAACTAGACAGTAGAAATCAAAGGCCAATGGGCATCCAGGGGCCCTCTGAAATGTATTACCCAAGGGAAGACGACAGCTGGTGAAGAGATGGCAAAAATGGGGCAAAATATCGGGAAAAGCATCAAACAGGGAATCTACTCTCCCAAAGTTATTTTTTCTCTAATGACACTTGATAATACTTATGTGCACTTTTCTTTAACCTCTGAAAAACATGTCAGTTCCTTGAAGGCAAGGTCAATCTCTTATTAATTTCTGGGCATCTCATTCGTGCCTAGCAGATTAGCATGCACACAGTAGATATCCCATTGGTATTTTGAAGTAAAGAAAAACAAGTTAAAAGAGCTAATGTTTCTTAGGCAAAGATGATTGCCCAATTGGCCAGAAAGCTAACGAGAATACTTTTGTGCACTGGGTACTATGTCAGATGGAGGTGAACATGGGGTTTCTACAAGGCAGAATATATGAAACTTAAACTCTCAATGACAGTATCGACGACCATATGTATGTAATTTACAAAACCACTTCCTACCCAGAGTCATACTCGAAGCATCAAGAGTTGCTATATATAAGTTTCTTCTTTTAAGTTATTGAAACATAATTTTAAAACATTTCCTAAAATTTGATCATTGTAGTGACAGGAGAAAGGGGCATTTTAGTGCCTTGAAATTGGTTTCCCTTGAACTCATACGTGCTCCTAAGTGTCTGTGGGAACATAGTAAGTATCATACAGTTACTTAGGACCAAATCATTCTTTCCATTCTTATTTTTCATCATTTAGTACGAATGTCTTAGGCATAGAAAGATCCAGTTTCCATGCTCCGTGTGTAGAAATCCTGGAGCGCATCATGTAAAACATCACAATTTAACCTGGCACAAAACAGAGTACTTGTAGGCTGGGCAATTACCTAGTGAACTGGATGAAGGAAAATTGAACAAAAAAGGAAAAAAAAAAAAGCCCTCTTGGATATAATAAGTGAGAATAACTATTCATTTTTTTAAAAAAAAAATATGGATTGCAAGCAGCAAATTCTACAGTAACAATGGCCTAATGTTGGGGTCACATTGCTGCCCCTCATTTGCTTTCCACAGGGTGTTGCAAAGGGAAACCGAATCTGCTACTGGAAAAGCCCCAGCCCATGAACCCCTTCATCTTCCCTGCAGCAGAGAACTGGATAGAGCTGCCGCATTGCAGAAAAATACACGGATTCACTCAATCAAACCTTAGGCTAGAAGCACAAAGTGGGAATTTGCCCATTCGAACAGTAGGAAGTACTTCTGATTCTCTGACGCGTGTCCTTTTTCGCCAAATCCATGGTAAGCCCAGATTCTGTCTCCCTCCGAGCTTCCTCCTTCTCCTCTTTCCTACTCATCTCCAGATGGGCAGACACTCCCTTGCTCAAGTCTTACACTAACACACACACACACACACACTCCACCTGACTAGAGAGAGGCCAACATTTGGTAAGAAGATGAGAGAGATCTCAAGTGTGAGTCATCATGGGAGCTATTCAGAGCTTGGGAGGTGACTGAGGTAAGCTGTCTACACTTGAGTGATGTGAACCTTAGAGAATGATTCCTGCTCAGGTTCCTGGAGCCCTCTGAGATTCCAAACAATGGTACGAAGAGAGCATCTGGCTTTGAGTTTCTCACTGTCTTGTAATGCACAGTGGTCATTTCCCTCAGGTATACAGGCTTGGTTGTGCTCTTGCCTGCAGGCATTGCAATACACGGCTGCCTGCTCTTACTGACTGTCGACCTTCTAGTTGTCTGGGACCAATTTATGAGACAGGTGACTCTGCTTGTCAAAGACCCTTCTCCAGACGGAGACACCGCTGAAAAGTCCCACAGAAGAGCTCTGCCAAAGCAATGCAGTGACAAAAGGGACCAAGGTCAGTTTGTGTGGAGGACATGTTGGTAATGATGTTGTGGTTTGGGTTTAGAGAAAGCCTGTGTATTTATGTGCAAACCTGTCTTAGAGCAAAAGTCACCTCCTGTCTGTTTGTGATGACTTCATATTGCATGGAGGCATCTAGAATGTCCCCCTTAATTCTTTTCCCAAGTCTCATGAATGGAGTCCTTGCTATTCCACTCTGGGCTGTGGAGCCCTCAGAACAGCCCCGTGAGGGTTCCTAGGGCTGTATGCACACTCCTAGGTCTGGAAAACAAAATCCTCCACGTCCCAGCTCCTTTTGTCTTATCCTTTCATTGACAGGGGTGGAAGCCTGAGAGGAGGCCCTAATACTAGAAGGAAGGCTCCGCAGGAAGTAAAGACGAACCCGAAGGAGGACAGCGCCACGCCCATCTGTGAAACCTGCTGAAGCTCATGGGCTCTCAGCGGCCGGGTCATCTCCTCACACACACACCCTGCGACCGTCAACGCGCAGAGCCACACTCTCCGGACTCTGGGCCGCGAGGCGAGAGGGAGGGATACTTACTGAAGTAAAAGCCCCTGTCTCCACACACGAACTGAAGCGCGTCGACCAGCTCCGCCCCGCAGAGAGTCTCCGGCCCCGCTGTGGCCGAGCCGGTGAAGGCGAGCAAGCAGAGGGCCAGGTAGAAGAGGTGCGAAAAGGACACGGAGCGCATCCTGACCTGCAGAAGAAGCAGAGGAGGGGTCAGCTGGCCTCGCTGGGTCTGCATGCCGAGTGGGGCTGGGGCGACAGCAACCGGAAAGGGACCTGGCACAAAGGGTGCCAGGGACTCGATGGGACCCGACAGGGCACCTGTTGGCATCAGACAACTGTGCTCAGCCACCTTGCTGCTGGCCCCGTGGCCAGGTCCTCCCGACCCCTTTCTGCTGGGTTCCTGTTGCAACTGAGCGAGAGGCCAACCAGCGCTGTGTGAATGAAAGATGCTGGTATGAGGTGGGATTTCACACCACTCTGAGATCCTGGTAAAACTCGATCAAAGTTTAAATTGTGCCCGGTACAGATTGGTAGACAAATGTGTTTTGTTAATTGAAGTGCTCTAAAAACTGGCCATCCACAGATAGCATACGTATCAGTTATTGGCTACGATATTAAATTAAGCAGAACAGCATTCGCTGGCTACTGATTAAGAAGAATGTATTATGTTCAGAAAAGGATTTGTAAAAATACTGCAGATCATTATAGGGGTTCTTTCAGAGAGAGAGAGAGAGAAAGAGAGAGAGAGAGAGAGAGAGCGCTAGAGAGAGAAGAGGGGGCGGCATTTCCTACCTGGGTAATAGCAGTTAACACAACCTCAAGTTGAAAAACAAGCAGGAAAAAGATGAGGATTTGAGAGCGAATTGGCTCACGCAACAGAAGGGGGCAGGAAGGAGTACGCCGCCCCTCACTCATCTGAAGGTGATGACCGAGCCGCTGTCCCACAGAATGGGGTAAGAAGAGAAAGCACAATGGATTTATCTCCTCAAAGTTCTGTGGGACAGGAGAGACTTCAGAAAGGGAGCACTCCCCGCCTCTCATGCTTTGCTCCAGGGAAACGCGGGCAGCCAGGTAGAAATAGGTTGGGCCAGAGACAGTGTAAGGTGAGGACCGGTGGGCTTGGCTGTTCCCATTCCCCTTTGGGCCTCTGTGTGGAATCTTGTGTCCTGGATACAGGACCGGACCCATCCGGAACAAGGGTCCTAGGACCTGTGACACCAGGCAAGGTGGGTCATAGAGTCTCTTTATGGCCAGCTCTTCCAAAGAAAGGCAGGGGAAGGTCGGAGCCATATTTCTGGGGTTTTATGGCTGACTTTGGCGTTGAGCATTTCTAGTTTCTGTGACCTGCCTTGGGGGAGAACAGAGAGAGGAGAAAGGAGGGCAGGAGAAGGTCAGAGAGAGGCTTTACTTCTGAGACCTTCCGATTCCCTTTAGCTCACAGTGCTCAGCAGACCAAGAGCCATCCTGGAGGGCATCATTTCCCCAGCCCCACATTAAGTAAAACCTACTCCATCTGCCTCCTAATGCCCCTTTCTTCAAGTCCAAGAGCAAATCAACGCACGCAGTGAGCCCCTTCCACTTACAGAGCACAGGGCTTAAAACCTGCAGTCTTTTTTTTTTTGGTCACAGGAACTCTGACTTCATTTGTTGGAGGGATTTATGTGTTACTGTATCCATTTTATAGCAAAAGCTACCCAGGGACCCCTGGTTGGCAGGACTTAGTCCGGGATCCCTGGCCAAGTGGCAGCCCTGCCAGAAGCAGGATTCCTGTGGCTCAAGTCTCCGCTTTCCCTCTAAGAAGCAGGGAAGTACTAAGGTGACCATTACATTAAGTTTTTCCACATTGCTACTTGTGGCACCGAGATGTAGATTCTTCCAGGAAGGCTCCCATGGCGGTGAGTGGGTTCCCCTCCCTCAGCTGCATCTGTACTCGGCACAGGAAAGAGCCACCGACAGGATGTTAGGTTCGGGGCCCTATTACAAGGTCACAGGGTGACGCTGGAAGCTATAATTTTACAAAGAGGCTGCTTTTGAACCTCGCAGTAGGGGCAGGTCCCTTCAACCCCATCACTTGCAGCAAACCAGACACAGGCATTTACTGTCTGCCCACCCTCCTCGTCCACCATGAACTCTCAGCTAAATGGCTTGGCCATCAGTGGCAAAGTTTGCACCATCACTTTAATTAAAATTTCCATTTTCGTGGCCGGAACTTCAGCCCAGCCATTGAGGCGAAACCCCTAGACCTCCAACTCTTATTAACACAAGGTAAATATTTAGTCAATGCTTGTAAAACAGCTGAAGATAAAAAGCACCCTCTATTTGCAAATCATCATAAATAATGGACATAAAATAGAAGAAGAAGTAAAAGCCCAAGTGAGCTTTCACTCCATTTTCTTGATAGGACCTTCACATGGAAACCCTCTACCCCCACGAAGCCAAAGGCACGGAGACTGGGATGGCAAATTATCACCTAGTCTTCATTTTTATTAGATACGAAGAAGGTAGTAGGGGTTTTGCCTTCAATATTTCCAATGGAAGCCTCAACAGATGGAACCCAACTGGTTTTCATGGCCCTTCGCAAAAGCAAAAACCAATAATTGACCTTCAGAACACATTCTTACACTTTGGCAGTGGGCCAGTTCTAGAATGTATTTGATTCCACTAAACTCACTTCTTCATCGCTTCCTTTTTTGTGGAGTTTCTGATATTGCTGAGGGCCAAGCACCTGCATTGTAGATGCCTTCAATTCTTCAGCTTTTATGAAATCCAGGGAACAATTATGCAAATTTACAACTTTAGCGGGTTTAGAATTTCAGTAGACACCAGCACTATATTTTTAATAGTTATTTTTGGTATAACACATTTAAGTCCAGCAATATATCGAAATCTCTTCTAACATTTAAAAAACTTAGATATTTAAATAGATTTTCCTTGTTCTTTCTTTCTTTTCCTGGCGAGTTATATTGTCAGATAAATATCAGTACTTATAGTTCTAGGACAAGTTAGAACCTCTCGCACATTTTCCTTTCGCTCAGAGAACAGTCCAGCACACCCACAGAGCATGAGAGAGTCGTTCACATTATGTTCCCCCAAAAGAGAACAACAACGAACTTGCTTAGGAGTTAAAAGTTTGAAACAAGTGGCCCCATATGTTCATGATTTCCTTGGCCTTTTATTTTGCCAACCACACAAGAAATGAATAGAGGAAAAGATAATGTTGGAGAGGAAAGAAAGAAGAACCAAGAAGAAAAGAGAAAAAGAAAGTGGGGGGGAAAGAAAATAGAGAACACCCTTCCTCAAACATCATTCACGAATGCATATTTTCCAAAGGCTTCTCTTTCTATCTGAAATAAATGGAATATCAATTGATCCCAGATGTCCGGGCTGTGATGAACATAACCCAGTGAAATGCGAGGGCAGGAGCCATAAGAAAATACTCACTGTGGGTGCACTCATATTTGTTTGTTCCAGGTCTTTTACAGCAGGTCAGGGTGGGTGTTATGAGGCTGATGTGAATAGAAAACTGAAGACTTAAAAACATGTGCTGCTTGATGGGTGGGGTTTGGGAAAGCATCTGGTTACATTTGGACACCCAGGCAGGTATGCCGTGAGCCTGAGTGAACGGCCTTTTGTCCATTCAAACAATGAACAAATTGCACAGCTGGGATCCGAATCCACTCCTTCCCCGTCAAGCTACCGGGTTCCCATCGGGAGCTTACTCTAGCTGTGCACAAGGGTGGCCAAGCCCCAGTGCACGCCTGGGTTCCCTTCCCCTGGCTCCAACACTGGCAAGTACCTGGGGACCCCGACTTCTGCAGCCAGGCTGCAGGCTGTGGCTCTGATCAGGACGCCTCCCTGCACTGAGCTGCCCTTGGAAGTCCACCCTGCTGCTTCCCACTACTTCCTACCCCAGGACAGGGAAAAGTTAACCACTCGTCGTTAGCTGGGCACACACGGCAGGAGTTCATTTGGAGATGATTTTCCAAACTCCTAAGCAACGCGGAGATAACATTCCACAGCCTCCTTGGCGATAATCTGAGCGGGGAGCCAGCAGCCCCAGCTGCGGGGCCGCGCAGTATCTGCATGCTGGCTTTGCTTCCGTCAGAGCAAGGTGGCTCGTGTGAGCCAGCATCTCAAGGACAGCAGATCAGGTGCCTGACACGGTCTGTCCTGAGCTCCCAAGCCACTTACTCAACAGGCACAAGTCCTAGCGGTGAAGTATTTGAAGGCAGCAAAGGAAGGCAGTACTGAGTGCAGCTGGGGACCTTTTAGGAATTGAGCCCTCCCGCGATTGCCTCCGGAGCCAGGGACAGCAGCTTAAAAGTGCTTGCAAATTGAAAAAAAAGAAAGAAAAACAAAAGCCTCGAAGGATATAATTTTGCTGAGAATGGAAACTTGAACTAGGGCCAGGGATCCGAAATGGGAAGTGAGTGCATTGAGCACAGCAGCCAAATTTACCTAAAGACTTGACAACACCGCGTATAAAATCAGAGCTTTACGGATGACACGAAACCCCAAGCCCGAACTTTGCCCACGAAAGTGTTCTTCAAAAGAAAAAAGTCGGACAAGCAGCTGCTAGAAAGTTTCTGCCTTCCATATACAGTGTGCATTCGTTTAAATTACGTGCATTTGCACCGTCAGCAAGAACTGTCAAGGAGCTATTTTGCTCTTCGGAGGAGCAAATCAAACTTCACTCTAACTTTCTGGGCATAAGCGCAGAGAGTTCCGGGTCCTTAGCTCCCAAGATCATATTTAAAAGCTCTAATATCATCTAAAATGCAACTGTTTGTCTGTGGCATGCTTTGTAAATAAAATCCTGGCAAATCACACACACACATTCACACATACACAGGAGCAAAGTCTTACAAATAAAACAATCTGCACCTGCAAAAGAGAAAAAATCTCAAAGTTCATATGCATGCTTGATAACCCTCCTCCACAGGCAGGATTTAAAGAAATCTTCCACAATGACACCACCAGAACCCTGCAGAAGTGGGGAGGATTTAGCAGAAGTACCTTACAATAGTTTCTACTCCTACAGATATCTCTGGAAATGCATCCATTTCCCCAAGCTATTTTGTCAGATCCCACGGAATTGCATGTTCAGCAATTTAGAAATAAACTCCTAGTTCCGAAACAATGCAAATTCTCAAGTGAATAACAGTTCTAAGGCAGAGGCACACAGTATCCAATGTACATAAAATTCCCCAATGACTTCAAAGAGTAAGAAATATTTACCTTCAAGAAATCACAAAAGCAGCACTTAAATAATTGAGTTGGAAGACTGCTGATTTTTCCCATTGCTTCTGAAGTAAAAAGTCTGAAAATGAATTGGTTAGCAGCAATAATGAGGCAAAAAGAAATCCAGAGAGATGGGAGATGTTGAGAGCAATGTCACATTTCAATTTTGAGGACTTTATGGCATTGCGCAGGCTCTATCTGCTCTGAATTTAGCAGTGACAGTGAGATTTAGCAAACAGAAGAGGGATTTAGAGAAAATCCTCACATTTATCTACAAAACACAGACACTGTAGACAGGAAACAGCTGGGGGAACATTTGCCTTCCCTCTCTCTCCCTCTTCTGGCAAAGTTATCGAGTAAGGACTTTTTTGGGCATGGTGACAAATAACATCATACCTTTGCATTTTAAAACTAGAGCACAAAAGCATTTTTTTCCCTTAAAAGAATGTGTGTTAGTGACAGGATTAGCAGACATTAAAATACTTATGCTGCCGTAGAAAAGAGGGGTGTTTATTGATTAACTTTCTACCAGGCACAAAGACACACGTCTGCTCATCCACCTTACCAGAATTAAAGGAATAGGGACAGGGGGTAGGGGGGCAACTTTATATTTTAGAACCAATGTAATTTTCTTAAAAAATCAGGAGAAAGGATGCAAAGAGCATCCCCAGGAAGTTCTACAGTTTTAACCCCGAAATGACCGGGGTACATTAGGTTGGAAGACAACACGTGGGTGACCCCTTGTCCTAATTGTCAAGTGAGGGGAGTGATCTCATTTCCTAAAACCTACAGGAGGGGCAGGCGATGCTGGATTGGCTCACTTTAGGACACTGTCTTGTGCTTTTTGCCAGCAATGAGGCAAAGGATATGCTGAGCTGTAAAACAAACTGGAAAATGCAGTCTTCTTCAGGCGTCCACCCAGCTGCTTGTCACCTCTGTCCCCCAGGACAGAGTCCCTGAGGGCTGGAGGAGGCTTTTCTGTCACTGCCTGGATTTTTCTGCATAACTTGAACCTGTGTGCTTGCGTGTGTGTGTGAGTGTGCGTGTGCGCACTGCGTGTGTGTGTTATGTTTTCTTTCTTCAATTTTTTTTTTGTATTCTAAATAACACCAGCTGGCTAGCAATACCCTCTCCAGGGCTATGATGTCATTCAAATCCCTGCACTGGGTGAGTGGCCGGCAGCATGGTCCAAGCCAGCTGTTCCGCTATTTATAATGTATATTTGCCTTTGCCATGGAGAATTGGGTCCTGAGCACTTGTCGATACTGTGTGTACCTACTCCTCTCTGGTTTGGTGAGGCAGTAAAGTGGATTATGAAATAAGGTTGCAAAAGCCCAGGTCAGACCTAGGGCTTACCCGGATGTTTCCCTGGGCGTGGCTTCCCAGGATGGTGGTGACCTGGCCTTGCATCTCACTCAGCTTCCCCCGGGACTCGATGACACTGATGCGTCCACTGAAAACTGAGTCTGCAGAAAACCCTGGTCTGGCTTTTTATGTTGTCTTGGAGCCAGAAATGTGTTTGTAGAGGTAGATGCCCTCAAAGGAAGAGATGGCGGGCTTTGAAGGGGGTCGGTTTGGGTCAAATCTCCTGTGTGGTTAATAGATCCTTAGCAATGTTGATCTTTCAGAAATGAGAAACAGAGGGCTGGGGATTTAGCTCAGTGGTCCACTGCCTGCCTCGCAAGTGCGAGGACCTGAGTTCGATCCCCGGTACAAAAAAAAAAAAAAAAAGAAATAAGAACTAGAAACCGAAAGTTGTGCTGTCCCAGACGTTCAGCATCGCATTGATGAGCTCCCACGGTGGGCGCTAGACAAACACAGACGAGTGACACAGACTCAGAGATGGCCGGGTAACATCGCTACCATGGCCAAGCTCTTTAAAAAATGTGTTCAGGGCACCTTGGGAAGGGACAACAACTTCTCGAACAAGGTAGGGAAAGGAAGCCCTTTTGAAAACCCAGGACAGGGCAGGAAAGATTGTCTTATGAGAGGCTTTGGGGTGCAAGGCTGGGAAGTTTCAGTGGCTGGGATTTGACCCAAAGACACAAAGCTGCATCATCAAGAGGTGGCCCGGTGGCCATCAACAGATGTGCAGTGATCCCTGTACTTAAACATAATCCAAGGCGTCCTCTAACACGCTCTCCTCCTGCACTTGATTTATGACTTCATTTACCAAAAGTCCCCCGCCCCAGCGTTTGCGGGGTTATGCCCTTTCTAAGAAAGCCAAGTCCGGCCTCCCTGACAGACTTTGATGGTGGGGTGTATGAAACCAAACTGCTGGTCCACCCACGCCTCGTCCCGGGGAGGAGGAAGAGCCCAGACTTCCCTCAAGGGGAGTCAGGCCTGGCTGGGGCCTGGCACTGCGTCCCCTGCTCTGTCCCCAAGCTGCCAAACACCTTGCCCCTCCCCTTCCACTGTAGTTTTAGCATTCGCAAGTGTCCCGAGTTGTTCCAGGGCTCACTACTCTTCCCCAGGTGGGTGACCCTGTTGGGGATAGCATGCTCTGTGCACCAAGCACCCGAGCCTTAGCCCTTCCGTCCGGAAGGCCACTCTGGGGCCAGAACACACACTGTTCCCTCGGACACTGCCCTCCCGCAATATCGACTCACCAACTCTCTTGGTTTTATAACCCCAATTACCCTTAAAGGATAATTGAGTTTTAATTTATGTCCTAGTTTTTATGTCACAATCAAAGAAAACTGAAATTTCAGTGAGTCTTAATTGTCATCAGCTGTGCAGTGGAAACGTTCCGATCTGAGCTCTCAGTTTCCACCGGGAAAGCAATTTCCTGAAGTGATTAACGTATATTTCAATTTGGAGAATGGTCTATATTGCTGGGGAGGGAAGCCAGCCACAGAGCCGGGCAGTAATTCCTGGAGAAATATCCCTTTTCTTTGCAAATTCCAGGAGTCAATAGGGAAACGAAAGGGCAATAAATGCACCACATTGTTACCTTTTAATGACCTTATGCTGTACCTGGTTAGGAGAGAAAGAAAAGAAGGCACCTATTACCGGAGTCCAAGGCGGCAGTAAATCTATTGCCTAGCAAAGCTCGGGTCAGGAAATCCCATTGGAGAGAAACAGCCAGGGTCATTCTGAACTTCGGGAATGATTATGCAGTCTCCTGTCTGGAAAGAATGTGACAGTTCAGACGGGAACAGTGTGCCGCCAAAATAGCTCCCTGTGAGGATGTGCTCGCTGTCAACAAACCCCCTGGATGTGAGCTTCACAGCCTCACCTTCGGCGTGTGTAATGCCTGTGCAATATAAATAGCTCTCCTCAAAGCCTTCTGCTTGAGTAGTGTATTTGCATAAAGCTACAGCTTCAGAAGGCTTCTTTAACAAAAAAACCAATAAAAAAGAGCAGGCTGGCCATTCACAGAAAGGGGGTAGCAAGGCCTGGTCGCCCCTCTTCTTTGCTCCCTTCTTCCCGCTGCTCCTTGGAGAGCTCTCCTTGAATGCTACCTCATGTTGGTGTGCAACAGGGCACATTTGCGATTGATTTCTGTACCGGCTTTGGCGACCTCCATGCAAAGTTCAGACTGGAGGCCGGGGTTGAGGAGCCTTACGAACCGGGCAAAGGGCAAAGCCTAGCTTCTTGGCAGCCGACAGGCAGAGCTTGG